ACATTACACACTTGCACACTGAAGACACGACACTATAACTAACATAGTGGGGAAAACAGACATGGGAGGAACCTAGACAGACAAGAACTAAATAGGGAAACAGAACTCAATATCAACAGAACTGACTGAAGCCTAAAGTATACAAACAAGAACGTCATAATTCAAAAAGGCATGAAACTCAAAATGCTGGAAGAAAAGAAACAGCCCATGACAGAACCAGTGGAATAGATGTGAGGAGGAAGTCAGAACGTTTAACTCATTCAATGTACTTTTAAAATAAAAGTTTTCAAATCAGGTGGTTAACACATTTAAAAGGGGAGTGTGATTGAATTTTTAGTTTTTGTCTTTATTTTATTTATCTTTAATTATTTTCTTTGGTAGAAGAACTTTTCGTTGACCCAATTTCAACGGCTTCTACTCCTGAACCAGCGCTGATGTGGGCGTTTGTCTGTATCGTTTAGGAGAATACTGCAGGGGGTAATCATACCATCAGAGCTGTGTACTTTTAAACTCCTCTAAAACAATGATCAAACATTACGCTAACCACCTGTCACATCTTACTTCTCCTGGTGTTATTAGCTACAGTACAGCAGCTCCCTGAGTATTCGAGCCCATACCAAATGAAATCTCCAAAATCACAATGTTAATGGAAAAAAATGATGCTTAAAGGAATATTTTCTTCATTGTTGGTCTGCCAATCAAGCTGGACTCAACTGGAGTCAGGCACATGCTACTTATTCCGCCTCATAGCAACAAAAGTGCCAAAGCTAAAAAAACAAAAACACTTTGCCTCCAACACACTCTGGATTTTCAGCTGGCAGAAAACACTTTGGTGTACGGAAAAGTCTATATCGCAGCTCTGCACCTATACGCTGAGTGAAACTGCAAGCTTGTTTTTTCCCCCGTGTGTGTCACTGTTGGTGCCGATGACCTGACTGAACCACGCTGTTTTCCAGTCTCTTTTAAACACAGTCCTGCCCTCGTAAAGCAAAATGTGAATTTAGTGAAGATGTGCCATTTAAGAGCCTAAACAACTGCCCCGCAGTCTGCCGCAGTGCTGTGTAATGTAGTGTGATGCAGCCTGGTGGTGAGGGGCCATTTTTCCAACATGGAGACAGACCCAAGTGGAATGGACCATATTGTAGGTTGAAAGTAATGCAGCATTAAGCATAAACACTCAGGAAGTGCATACAGTAGCTTTTTGATAAATGTGTTGACTTACTTTGAGATGTAAGAATAAAACAACCTGGTTCAGCATAAAAAAGTGCCTCACTTTTGATTTCCTTTTGTGGCGAAAGAGCTCCTGCTCATTGGAGACTGTAAGCTCTGTCTCTTTAGTCTTTACTTCAGATACAGTAGAAGAACTTAATGTTCTGCTTTGTTGAAGGAGGCACCGGCCAAAGTGGCCCAAGCAAGCAGTTAATGGTGCACAATTTGCATGTGCAGGACAGTTTTGTGGCACACTCGAAGTCACGAGGTCATTAGGAAAAGGAACATTTTAGTCGCGGGTACTGACACCAATCAAGACCAATGAAATTAACTCACTTTAACAGCACTCGAGCCATTTTGTGACACACGAAGCAGTGATATGCCACACAGCTGACCACAGTGTTCAGTCAAATAAGTTAAACTGCCCAACTTGACCTCAAATGATGCCAGTAATAATCGTGAATATGATTTGTCTGGGTGCCAATCACTTGAATATGAGTGCAATTTTCCCGCACTTTGACCTGGCAGGCCTGCGCACATTCCCTTTAATTCTTGACAGGGAAATTGCACTGCTTTGCTTGATTATTACCACTCCTCCTACCTCACTTTTTCCTCCATGTAGGCTAAGTCAGGTTCAGGAGCAGTAATCACAATACCATTATAAAAACATACCTGTATGTACCGAGGGCTTTGCAGACGGGGGGGTGGAGTCTAAGCTGTATGTGGCGTCAAAAAGTGTGTTTACCTTCTGGGTTGCTATAGTGAGGCGGTGTGAGCTTTGTTTTCCAGTTAAAGGGCTCTGACAGGCACTGACTAATGTAGTGCAGCTGCTATAATGAGCAGTTCCAGGTCTTGCTCTGATGTACATGCTTTTTGAAAGTGCTGTTATCCCGAGGTGTGACATCTTTGAATCCCCAGTAATCAACAGATGTATTTGTGTGAAGCCTCAGGCCTTTGACTCTACTCTACCTCGATCCTTTCGACCATCTCTTTTTGTACTTGTGAGATGCAGCTGATTATTCCTGGTTTAAAAACAGCATACTGCCTGTGGGCTCTCTGCCTGCCTCTCCCACTTTCTCTCTCCCTCTCTTTCATTCATTTCTCGTCCTCCCCCTCCTCTTCTTTCTCCTGCAAACTGAAGGCAACCTCAGTGCCAATTTCATGGGAGGGTAGCAAGCAGCGCTGCAGAAATTATCCACTGCAAAATTGATCTAAACAATCGCAAAGTGGAACGGCAAGGAAAAGCAGGAGAATGAAATTGGGAGAGTCTGTTACCTTTTTGAACTTGCTTTATCACTGAGAAAGGGTTGGACTGCATTGCTTACAGGGAATGTCAATGGCTGAACTCACAATACTGTTTTTCTTAGGATTGTACAGTCTTCATACTGTACTGTAATAGTGCAGAATTTTAAACCTACTTTTTTCAAGGAAAACCGAGATATGATTATATCAGATTGCACAGGATTATGTGTTTCTGAAACTACACACACCAAATTATGTTAATGACCAGTTTACACAAAAGAGCTTGTTTTTTGTGAGCAGTAAACTGAACAGGCATCATCGTCCATTCTTGGCATTGTTCCGCAGGGGACGGGGTCAGCAACCCGATATCCCACCCACTAACAGGTGGCATCATGAAGAGATAATCAGTGTTATTCACTTCACCTGTCAGTGATCGTAATGTTATGCCTTCTCAGTGTATATATGACCATCACTGGCCCAAATGCAATCGTAATAAAAAATGACTCACCTTAAGAGTCGAGGAAACAGAAGCTCCCATAATGAACTTAAACTAACCAGTGTGTTAAGCCTAGTGAAATATTTAGCTCCCAAAGAGCCATATATTCTGTAGAAGCTGGTGGAGACCAAAAAATAAGCAATAAACAGAGTAAATATTGGACTTATTCACATGGCCCAGTGAATAATGCTGCTAAGTATCTGTTAGTTGCATAAATAAACAGCTGTTTACCTAAGACCTCAAATGTGCTAACCTAAAATGTGATAATGTGTCAACAATGACTTTAGAACTTGTTTTGCTTCCAAGAAAATGTTATAAATATATTGAAAACTGTGGCTACTGCCACAGATAGTAGATACTAATAAAAAAAGCACATTCAACGATATTTAAATACATTTTTTTTAATGCATTCAGTCTTTAAGCCAAATACTTATTTTCAGGTATTCTACTTTCAAGAGTAAAAGTTTAATTTTACCCTAGACTTTTCCTTTCGTCTTTACTGGTCTATTTTTTCTATAACTGCCC